GAGCGCGTGTACAACCGCCGTATGACTAAATGACGTCACTCGCAAGTCAACATGACTTAATCATACAAGGCGTCCATGAACATTGTTCATACCATACTCAGTAAGTAAACATACATAACAACATCACATATTTGGATTGAACGAATCGCGGAAATATTCAAAGTTCAACCATGGGCCACATATGGCCAAAACGTGGGCTCGCAGGCCCAAAACAAATGTACTTATTACAAAGTATCCATGAGCATAGTTTATAGTTTAAAAACGGTAAAGGAAAGCACGAACCACGTCTCCTTTTAGATCACTTCACCGAGCAAGGTGAGAATAGCAAGCTTGAGCTTCAACCTGAAATGGTGGGCCCCCCGAAGGGGTCAGTACAAGTACCGAGCGAGTAGCAGGCTAAATGTAGAATAACTAACGTTTTAAGTATAAGACCCAAACATAGGGTGATACATATACATATAGTTCCTTCCCCCAAGTTATGAAATATATATCATTATATATACACTTGGAAATACCCGACCCGTAGGTCATTGTTTATTTGGGAAATAATATAGCCGGTAACCTTGGCTTAAACCCTAACCCACCCATATACCTATGAGTGTATAGAACTCCTCCTGGTTCATATCATCTTAACATGAGGACACCGCCCGGTCCTAAATTACAAAATAATAAATCTATGAGTTTTGAGGATACACGCCCGATCCTTGGGTACTCCACCCTATAACCGAGTTTTGAGGATAACCGCCCGATCCCTGGGTACTCCACCCTATAACCGAGTTTTGAGGATACACGCCCGATCCTTGGGTACTCCACCCTATAACCGAGTTTTGATGATAACCGCCCGATCCTTGGGTACTCCACCCGACTTATGATCTACCACATATCATCCTAGATAAGGTCTATATCATAATTATTAATCAAGACTAAACAAGGTCTTAAGGCCTAAGCATAATCATCCATGCAATTCATGCATTAAAAATCAACATATAGGCAAAACAGTGCCAAACCGGCGCCGGTTTTGACATAACCGGCGCCGGTTATTAATTAATTTAATGAAACCGGCCATGCCGATCCATAACCGGCGCCGGTTTTGCCTATAACCGGCGCCGGTTACCCCCTGGGTAACCAAGTCAACATTTTCGTTGACTCGCCATTTCAAACCCGATTTGCGTCAAACTCAATCCCAACATATATTAAGTTATGACCAAGCATTTTATGCCCCTTTTATCCCTTAAAACATCATATATCTTTTTATAAACATTTTCATATCAGACTTCATTTATGATATCAATGGGTCATACATATAAGTCCTATCACTTTGGATAATCACATGTTTAAGCATCTTTTAAACATCATTATGAACACATATAACATTTACTTAGGTAATCTCATATTTAACCCAAGATTTATAAGACATTAAGCCGTCCACTCACCTCAAATGAGCGTGATGAAGTTCTACCCTTCTCGGTTGAACTCTGGCCAACTCCGGTGAACTTTGACGAACTCTGGTGACAACTCCGGCGACTCTTTAAACCTTGTGAAAGCTCTCAAATCACCTTTGACACGTTCCTAACATGGTTTTATCATCACAAAACCCATATCAATACAAATAACCTTTAAAAGGTTATTTTCCGGCTAACCGGTCATTTTGGCTCCCTAGTCCGTTCTTGGACATAGAACCACCCTTCAACCCTTATTTCTACATTTATAAATATGTAGAGCTACTAAAAGGGTTCCTTACATGCTATGTAAGTCATATGGTAGTTAAAGAATGGAGGAACAACCAATACGAAGTCATTACCTTAATCACCACACTTTTTCTTCCCTTTTTCCTCTCCTAAACTTCTCCCTTTTTCTTGTTGGAGCTTGAGCTCGAGATTAGCTATGGAGGACTGAATTTGCAGAGCCTCTTTCCTTCTTTCTTGGTGCTTGGACGAGTGCAATGAGTGAGAGAGGAGGGAGAATGGTGTTTTTGTCTTTGGTTGGCAAATGGTTGAGGCTATGGGTCCATTAGGTGTCAAAATGGTCTCTCCCATCCTCTCAATGGCTTTCAGCCACCTTTGCTCTCAACCCATCCTCCAAGAGTTGGAAAACTCGTGGGTTGGCCCCCACTTATGTGGGAGGTCACCCCTTTTTGTCCAGAAGTGTACAATCGGTCCCGAAAGTTGTATTTTTCGGACTATTGTACATATATTTTATTTTATCGGGTCAAATAAAATGTATAGTATGTTACTAATCATTACGGGCCTTCATAATGAGTATACTTTCCCCAACGCTAATTACGGGCTTTATCTGAGTCCTTATGAAGCGGGGTCTTGTCATCTGATCTCCGATGAAGCGTGATCTTTTGATCAAGATCAGACGAAGCGTACCCTTGTATCCTAGGGCCGCTGCGTTACATTCTTTGCTTCCTATTCGCGGCTGATGCGGCTCTTTGATGTTGGTGGATGTAGTGGTTTGCCCGTCTGTGGCAAAGCTAGACGAGGCGAGATCTCTTGTCCCAAGATCAGCTGAAGTCTGATTTTTTATGTCTTGGAGACGATGCGGTTGCCCTCATTGGTAGATGTAGCGGCACCACTCATGAGTGAGCCGTTGCGCTTTTATTTTTGTTTGGACGAGGCGTTTCACCTTTTCGTGCGTAGCTGGTAGTCCCCCAGTGTGCGCAGCCGTTGCGCGCTAGATCTTGCGTTTTAGGTTTTTAATTTCGGGTTCTGTGGCCGATGCGATCCGCGATGCTCTTGAGGCGGCTGATGCGACTCTTCATGCTTATTTGAGGTGAATTGTTCATCTTTTGTCGTTGGTGCGTCGTAGCGCACCCTTTCATATTAAGGCCGTTGCGCTCTCTCTTCTTGTGGCCGATACAGTCCCCCAGTCCCCCACTCCTTTGGCCGAAGAGTATCTGAGGCACAAGGGAGTAATGAGCCGTTTCGGCACCTGTGCGCTAGTCGCGACTCCAACCCTTAGGCGAACCTGCCAAGGTAACCCTGTGGGAGAACCCTTGGACGAAGGCCGCAATGCCAGGGTTATCGTCGACGATGCACGCACAAGCGGCCGTAGCGGTCTATTAAGGTTCCTTGGGTTGTTGTGAGGACGTTGAGTTTAGGCCGATGCGTTCCCCTTCGGAGTTTTGTAGTAAATGGGCCGCAGCGGTACTTCGGCCGATGCCTTGCTTTTTTGAGTTCAAGTTTGGCCGTAGGGGATACTTCCATGAGTAATTTTGAATTGGGGCCCCTTGATTGGTTGGAAGAGAGGTGGCCGTTGGTGGAGCCAATGGGATGGCGCCACGTGTAGTGACCGTTTGGAAGTTTTCTATAAATACCTCCTCACTTCCAAAGCCTTACCCTCATTTGCGATTTGCTGAGCTGAGTTGCTGCTGAGATTTCTAGAGAGAGAAGTGCTTCCCAGAAATCGTCAAGTGTTCTTCAGACCTTCAAAAGTTCAAGGTTAGGTTCTTGAATTTGTTCTTCCTCTTTTTTTCCTTATTTTGCTTCCTAGGGGGTTAGATCTAGTGTTTGTAGGAAAAACCACTTTGATCCTTGAACCACCCTTAGGACGTAGCAATAGTGTTATGCCGTTCCCTGACGGCCGTAGCGTCCCCTCTCCTCTTAACTTAACAGCTTCTTTGGACGAGTCGGACTGGCCTTTTGACGACGAGGACACATCCCCCGGGGTTGATCTAAGAGTGGTTGAGGCTTTCGAAGTTGAGATGGAGAACACTGCAGATTACCGCACCTCCGTGGATGAGGAGCGTCTAAGCGCCGATGCGGGCTCTCAACGCTCCGGTGAGGACGAAGCGAGCTCCGACCCCCAACTCCGTGGCGACGATGCGGGTGATGCATCCTCGGCCGCTATTCCTTGTCCTCCCCCGCTCAATTCGGTCCCCGGTGTCGCTCCGTCTTCCTCTAACCCCAAGAAACGTAACTCGCGTCGCCGGAAAGGGTTATCTGGTACTCTTTCGCAGCTGGATTTGACGAACCTTTTTATCATAAGGCCGGAGGCTTCCCAGGGTGATTATCAGGTGGCACAGCTCTACGTCGGGCCTTATGGAAGGGTTAGGGCACCGAAGCCAACGGATCATGTTCTAGATCCACCTCCCGGTTACTTCGGAGTGTATCCGATGAGCTTCTCCCAGGGTTTGAGGTTCCCCCTTCATCCCTTCGTCGTGGAGTATCTCAACATGATAGATCTTCCACCCGCTTTGCTAACTCCGAACAGCTATTCCCTCATCGTCGGGTTCCTCATCCGATGCGATGAGCTTGGTATTGAGCCGACGACGGCGTTATTCACAAACTTGTACCGGATCGGTCGGGGTAGCCATGAGAATTGTGCTGGATATGCGGCCCTCCAGCAGTTGCCGAAGAAGAGATCCTTTACTGACCTCCCGTCGTCTATTCATGGGTGGAAGAGTAAATTTTGTTTTGTGAAGCTGGCTGGTGGGGTGTTTTTTCCTTCTCAAGGGCACAACGGCATCTTCAATTTGCACAACCCACCGAGGAGCCCTGAGATTGATGCTCAAGTGGAGGCGTTCCTGAAGGGTGGGCCGCGGAGCGTCCACACTTATATTACCGAATTCAAGATAGCAGCTCTAGGGATGATGCGGTACCACATTCCCGGCGACCCTGATTGCGGATTATGGCCGAAGATATCCGGCTACTTTGAGCAGGCCGATGGGCCCTACTTCGGTGTCCCGGCCGATGCCGAAGGTTGATCACTTTCCTTTGGCTCCCGGTTCCTTTTGCTTTACTTATTTTTCTAACTCTTGTTTTTGTGTCTTACAGACTTCACCATGAGCCGGAAGATGTTTATGTCCCAGGCCAAAAAGCTGGTTGCCAAGGAGATGGAGGCTGCCCAGCGAGCCGAGGCGTCCAAAGGTTCTGGCGACGGCTCTAAGAGTATTGCTGATGCGGCAAAAAAGCCGGTGGTGAAGAGGAAGAAGGCTGCTGAGGGCCAGCGTACTCTTACTGAGACGGGTCTGGTGCCGGCTGAAGGCGCCAAGAAGACGAAGCCGAACCCTTCCCCCAATGACGCTGCTTTGGCCGACACACAGGCATCGGTCCAAGGGGGAGCTGCCTCTGATGTGCATATCATCGAGGATCTGACGTTGAACGTCGCCTCGTCCGCCCTAGTTTCTGCTAAGTCCGGGGCTGCTGCAAAGAAGAGTGCCCGTGCTGACCGAGACCTGACCTCCGGTCTTTATGAGGTGACGGTGCGGTATCCGCCGAAGGGCGGTTTATTCAACGAGAAGGTTTCTGGGCACGACGTCCTGTTCCAGGCCATTCCTGATGCTGATAGGGAGTATCTGCGTCGGCAGAGCAAGGATGTGCGTCTCTTCGACGGCGGGCTGGACTACGTCGTCCAGGTGAGTCCCGACTCTTGTACTTAGTAATTTTTGTATTCCTTCTTTTTCTAATGTTACATGTTTCTGCAGGGTGCCTTCATGCTCATGGAGCAGCAGCGGCGGCAGGACGAGGAGCTTGCTCGCCTTCGCGAAGCTGAGAAGAAAGCCGCCTCCGCTGACGAGGCGCTTTCCCAATTGGAGCGGCTTCGGACTGAGACTGCCTCCATGAAGGAAAAAGCTGATGCGGCTGAGAAGAGAGCCGTTGTTGCTGAGGACGAGGCGAAGCGCCTCAAAAATCGGCTTGAAGAAGAAGCGGCCGCCCGCCGGCTAGCAGAAGAAAAAGCCGTGAAGCTGGAGGCCGATGCGGCGGCGGCTGCTGATAGAGCCATTGAACTCTTTATGGCCGAGGGTTGGAAGGACGAGGCCCGACGCGATTGGACTTTTAACGTCGTGGCGGAGCGCTTCGAGGCGTGGTCTCAGGAGGAAGCTGGCCGGGCTTGCCTCAAGCAGGAGTTCGAAGTCTGGTACGACCTCGGTCAGAGGCGTATGCAGATGTTGGTTTACCGCCGCCTCCGCCGTCGCGTAAAGAACTTGAAGCCCAGGGGTATCGGCCTTCCCCGGCTGATGAAGGACCCTGAGGAGGAGTTGAAACTCCCACTGTCCGAAAGGCAACCCCCCATTTTGAGCTCAGACGAGGAGGACGGGCCCTGGACTGAGAGTGACGACTACCTCTTCCGCAGCTCGGCGAGGTCCAAGAATACCGAGGATGAGCAGGACGATGCGGACAGCGGAGCCGTTGAGGGTGGCCAGGGACAAGCTGTTTAGTGTTTCCTTGTACTTAGTTTTCTTTTTTCATTTGTAGTAGTCTCAATGGCCGAAGCGCCCTGATGATTGTAACGGCCGAAGCGCCCCCTTTGTATTTTTTGAATCATCAATTAAAGATAACTCTTTTTGTCCAAGTGTTTGTTCCTCGCTTCGTTTTCTCTTTATGTTTGGCGTTTGGTTTGTTGGTGTCGCGTCGTCTGAGTGACATTGTTTCACAAGTTTTTATCTTGGCAAATTTGCCAACTTTGAGACGATGCGTTCCATCGTTTCCTTTGTGTTGATGTGGGGGCACCCTCGCCTTTCTGGTACGTGTGTGAGGACGTTGCGTGTGTTCCCTGCATCTGATGTAAGGGACGATGCGCCCCTTCGTCGAAAATGTTGTGTTTAGAACATGTGTTTCAAAAATTTACCAAGTGTTGAAAATTTTTCTTGGCGCGACGCTACGTCCCTTTCGTCTTAGGTAAGGCATGGCCCCAAAGTTCTGAGATCTTTCTAAGTGTCATGAGTTTATCTTGTGATATCCGTCCGCTGAGACGTAGCGACCTCCTTTCTTTGAAGACGATGCGCCTCGTCGTCCCTTGATGAATTCCATTTTTGCCTTTACATCTTTCCCGAGTTGAGTTTTTGGAACTTAATCCTGAAGTGTTGGGGACGTAGCACATCGTCTCTCTTGTAGTGTGACTTAGAGAATGTTGCAAGTGTCAAGCTTCCTTGAGGTAGGTGTTTTGCTTTGGTTCGTCACTTGGGTTTTTGCTAATTGGAGACGATGCGTTCCATCGTCCAAGTAATGGACTGTGGTTTTGTATAACTGAAGCCGAAGCGATTCCCTTTTGTGACGCTATGGTTGGGGCCGAAGCGTGCGCTTCGGATCCCTGTATAGTGAAAACCTGATATGTACTTAGCCAAATTTGAGGCTTGGTTTTTGTGGGGATTTTGTTTTATGCTCGAGGCCGGCGAGTGCACGGTCCGTCGGCTTCCCTCTTTTTTTTTTTTTTTTTTTTTTTTTGGGTGGCCGAAGGGTTACTGTCCCTTCGTCCGTGTGCGGTAGTTTGTCCGCTACGCTCTTCGCGTGAATTAGTGCGAGGGAGTAAATACGCCCTCGGCTTGGTGTCAGTGGCTTCCTTTTTTGGCCTTTCCACGTCTATCGTCGACGAGGGACCGGACAAGGCATCGTCTTTTGACGGCCGCCCTTTGTGGTCCTGAGCGAAATTTTACTGACGGGTGGAGTTTTTGTAACCTCAGCCTTAATTCAGGCCTGTCGTCCTGCGGTTTCCGCGCGGACGACGCGGTATGCTTCTCCGTTTGAAGACGTTGGACCATGCACACAGGTCCTTCGTCCTGCATATCGCCGGCCGATTTGGGTGTTTCACCGCTTGTGCCGATACGATATTTAGGTGCGTTGTTTATTGCAACGGCTTTGTAGGCGCGTTGTAGATCGCAACGGCCTTAGGTGCGTTGTGTATCGCAACGGCTTTAGGTGCGTTGTTTATTGCAACGGCTTTGGGTGCGTCGTTTATTGCGACGGCTTTAGATGCGTCGTTTATTGCGACGTCTTTAGGTCGCACCGGACCCGGGTGATTACACCGCTTAGGCCGATGCGGTCCTTGGGTTTCTTTTGCTCAAATCTTAAAAGATTGGATGAAACATGAATTTTATTCAATGAGTGGCGCTAGGCCGAGGGTGTTTTATTCAACCAATAAGCCGAAGGGTGGGGGACGTTGCCCGCTTCACCACTTCTCGAGTCATTGGTAAAATTTCACCAGGTGGTGTACATTCCACAATCGTGGTACATCTGACCCATTAAGGTTCTTTAGTCTATAAGTGCCGGCTTTGATGACGGCGCTGATGATGTAGGGCCCTTCATATTTGACGGCGAGCTTTCCTCCTTCCGTGGGCTTGCTTGCTTCCCTTCGGCGGAGGACGTAGTCCCCCACCTGGAATTCGCGAGAGCGGACTTTGGCGTCGTAGTAGGATTTGACTTGTCGTCTGTAGTTCTCTGCCCGAAGGTAAGCCATCTCCCGCCTTTCATCAATGAGGTGCAAGTCAATCTTCATGGCTTCTTCATTGGCTTCGGGGTCGTATTGTGTGACCCGTCGGCTGGGGAGGGTGACTTCAGTGGGAGCCTTGGCTTCGAAGCCGTAGCACAAGGAGAATGGCGTCTCCCCAGTAGCCCTCCTCGGAGTAGTTCGGTAAGACCATAGGACGTTGGGGAGCTCGTCGACCCAACTTCCGCCTTCTTCCTCGAGTTTCTTCTTCAGCCCCTCCAAGATGGTTCTGTTGGCGTTCTCAACTTGCCCGTTGGCCTGAGGGTAGGCAACGGAGGAGAAACGGTGCTTGATACCCCATTCTTGGAGGAGGTTTTGGAACGGTTCGGCCTCAAACTGGGTGCCGTTGTCTGATATGATCTCCTGAGGCACGCCGAAGCGGGTGAGGATGTTCTTGTAGACGAACTTTCGACACCGCGCTCCGGTGATGCTTGCGAGTGGTTCGGCCTCGACCCATTTGGTGAAGTAGTCGATGGCGACGATTATCTGTTGTTGCCTGCAGCTCTTGGTAGAGGGCCGACGAGGTCGATGCCCCATCTGGAGAATGGGATGGCAGTGCTGACCGGGGCGTAGTTGACGGCTGGTCGGCCAGGTGCCCTTTGATAGTGTTGACATGCGTTGCATTTGCGGGCGACCTCAGCACAATCACGCGCCATCGTCGGCCAGAAGTAGCCTTGGACGACGAGGCGGCGCGACATGCTGAAGGGCCCCTGATGTGATGAACAGACGCCGCAGTGGACTTCTTCCATGGCCACTTCGGCCTCATTCTGGTGTAGACACCGGAGGAGGGTGCCATTGTATGATCTCTTGTAGAGCTCGTCATCCTCAATGACGTAGCTTGGCGCCCTAAGTTTGGCGAGTTTGGCTCTCGCCTCGTCTTCTGGTAGCGTGCCGGAGGTGATGTAGGTTGCGATGTCAGTGATCCAGTCCTCCGGCTGGTGTTGTATGGAGAGTATAGGGCTGGCGTGAATGCTTGACATGCTCAACTCCTCCACCTTAGCTATCTTGGAGATGTGCTCAGGGGTGTCGGAGCTGAGTTTGGAGAGTATGTCAGCCTCGGCATTCTCTGCCCTTGGGATCTGAGTGATCTCGTAGGTATCGAACGCCTTGAGCAATTCCGCAGCGGCCTCCTTGTATTGCTTCATCCTCCCTTCTTTGGCCTCGTATGAACCCTCCATCTGGCTCACTACGAGTTTGGAGTCGCATTTGATTCTGACGTGGCGTGCTTTAAGGCCAGTGGCTAGTCTGAGTCCGCTGAGGAGCGCTTCATATTCGGCCTCATTGTTGGATACTTTGAAGTTGAAGCGGATGGCGTAGTACGCTCTGAATCCTTCCGGGGAGATGAGGACGACGCCACCCCCACAAGCCTTGGTGGCCGAGGACCCGTCTGTGTAGAGGGTCCAGGCTTCGTCTGGTTCAGCTCCTGTGGTGGTAACGGCCGTCTCCCTTGCCGTGCACTCGGTGACGAAGTCAGCTAAGGCTTTCCCTTTGATGGATGGCCTCGGCTTGATCTCAATCTGGTACTGGCTCAGGAATATCGCCCATTTGATCATCCTTGGAGAGCTGGTTGGGCTCCTCATGAGGGCGCCCAACGGCTGATGCGTGAGGACGTGGACGGGGTGAGCCTGGAAGTAGTGTCCAAGTTTTTTCACTGTATGGACGATGGCCAGCACCGTCTTCTCAATGGGGGAGTACCTAAGCTCGGCCTCCCGTATCGTCTTGCTGACGTAGAATATTGCTTTTTGTATCCCGTCATCCTCCCTGATGAGTACGGAGCTGACGGCCGACGTGCTCACTCCCAAGTAGAGGAAGAGGGTCTCGCCGGGCTGGGGTTTGGATAGGACGGGTGGGGAGGCGAGATATTGCTTCAGCTCTTCAAAGGCTTGTTGGCACTCCGTCGTCCATTGGAAGCTGTTGGCCTTCCTCATTATCTGAAAGAAGGGGAGCGATTTTTTCGCGGACTTTGAAAGGAAACGGTTCAGGGCCGCAAGGCGTCCCGTCAGCCGTTGCACTTCTTTGATGTTGCGGGGTGGCTCCATGTTGATAATGGCTTGTATCTTTTCTGGGTTCACTTCGATGCCCCTTCGGCTGACCAGGTACCCCAAGAATTTACCTCCCTGGACGCCGAAGGTGCACTTCTTCGGGTTGAGCCGGAGGTTGTACCTCTTCATGATCTCAAAGATGCCCCGGAGGTCGTCGGCATGAGTTGTGGATTGTTTGCTCTTGACGATCATATCGTCGACGTATGCTTCCATCGTCCGACCTAAGACTGCTCTAAAAATCCGGGCTACCATCCTTGTGTAGGTGGCGCCGGAGTTCTTGAGCCCAAAGGCCATGACGAGGTAGCAAAAAATTCCCTCCGGGGGTCATAAAAGCAGTCTTCTCCGCGTCATCTTCGTGCATGGATATCTGGTGGTACCCTCTAAACGCGTCGAGGAACGACATCAACTCGCACCCCGCAGTCTCATCCACCAACTGATCAATGTTGGGGAGAGGGAATGGGTCCATCGGGCATGCCTTGTTCAGGTCAGTGTAATCAACACACATTCTGAACGTAGGCGGCTTTGGGGCGAGGACGACGTTCGCCAACCACGTGGGGTACTTCACCTCTTTGATGTGCTTGATGGAGAGCAGCATGGCCACCTCGGCCTTGACAAATTCCCTCCTGTCGGCTGAGAGGTAGCGCTTCTTCTGCTTGATGGGGGAGGAGGCCGGGTTCACCGATAGCCGATGTGTGATTACCTTCGGGCTGATGCCCGGCATGTCCTCTGGTCCCCATGCGAAGACGATGGCGTACGCTCTCAGGACAGAGAGGATGTCCCTTCGGAACTGTTGGGGGAGCTGTGTCCCAATCTTCAGCGTGCGTTCCGGCCGGGAGACGTCCAACGGAACGTCTTCCACGTCTCCGACCGGTTCAGCCTTCGGTGTGTCTTCTTCGGCCGAGGCGGTGGTGATAGTGTCTATCCGCTCCTCGGCCTCATTAATCTTTCTTGTGAGCTTCAGGTAGCAAGCCCTGGCTATCTTCTGGTTCCCTCTGGCGTAGCCGACGCCGTCCTTGGTGGGGAACTTGAGGCATAGATGTCTCATGGAGATGATGGCCTCAAGGTCCTCCAAGGCCGGTCGTCCCCAGATCATGTTGTGGGCGCTGTCCAGGTTGACAACCACGAACTCCATGTCAACCTTCGCCTGACAGGTACCGTCACCGACCACAACGGGAA